CACTGGGACGTACCTCTACTCCCTATTGGCACTCTTGGCAAAATGGACAAGTTCTGGGGCTACAATATGATTCAGTAGTAAATCTGGAAGCGAGGAGTGGAAAGGCAATAGGCAGCTTTCACGGTCACTTCTTCCTCCTCCTTGAGGCAGAACTCAGATGCCAGGAAGAAAGTGGCAATGTGATTTTAAAAACACTTTTGCTTTCTCCAGCAGCTGGGATCATGCAGGAACCAGCCAGCTCCCAGTGTGGTCATTTATTCTCTAAAGCAAGACTCCCTCTCCCCTCTCATTTCTATCCCTGCTTCTTTGGCAGATTACTTTTAACCCACTCTGACTTGTCTTGCAACAGCCGTACTGATGCAACTGATGCAAAAAGCTGCCTAATGCAAAAAGCTTACATAAATGAGGGCTACTGTGCCAGTTAAAAAAGAATAAAAATCCACTGTTTCTGTCACTAGTAGGAGCCAGTAAGTCCACAAAGACTTCCCCTTGCCCCCGAGGTAGGCAAGGCTCTAGTGGCTTTCCATATTTTACCACTCTATCGATTTTTCCTGCCAAAAAGCCTACTACAGTAAGAGCCTGGAAATGCTTTTCGGCAGGAAAAGTTAGCAGCGAGGACATCAGGCCAAGCCAGTGGAACTTTGCTTCCAAAACAAAAAAATGTTACAATGCAGAGAGCCAAGGAGGGAAAGCAGCTCTCGCACTAAAAGCATCCTTAGAGCTAAGTCACTGTCCGACGGGTCGCTGAGGCCCGGCAGGCCGCAGTGGGAACACGTTCCTGTTATCGCAGACAGGCAGGCCGCAAAACAACTATCCTTGTTTTTTCCTGGTTTTACATGTCATCTGCAACTTCCCTTTCAGTTTCAGTATTTATTTCGAGTTGTTTCTGCTGCCATTTCTTGTTTGTCTTGCATACTTGTGACTTCCTTCCATTTCACCACAGATTTCCCCCAAATAAAACCATATGCACTGCCATAGCAACATTTTAATACAAACACAGGGTAATCTTTGTTCACTGAAGTACAGAGTTCATTTTTTTTTTTCTCTCTCATTAACGGAACCTGCATCTGCATACAGTTTAACTGAATGTCATAGCAACAATGTAAACACAAGTTTAAGATATTTTTTCCTTTGGAGGGAGGAAGAATAAATGTTTTAAGGAAAAGAGCGTGGGACTTCAGAAAGCAGAATGAAACGTTTGTGACCAAATACGGCCTGAAGTTACATCATCACAGCTGTATATTTACTCTCTAAAGCCTGCGAGGTGTTATACATTCTCAGTTCCTACAGATGTCAATAGAGAACAGCCGTAACTGGTAGGGCAAGGTCTGAATCGGAGCTACGCTTATACACAGCATGGAGGCTGGACTTCTGTCAGCACTACAGCGAACTTAGAAATTCATGTACTTTTTTAGACTGGAGTGCTCGTTCTGCACGGGGAACGGTTTTACTCCCAATGCAAAGCAAAACTGCACTGTTCAACTGGCGTAACTAAAATTGGTCCGGCACGCCTCTAAGACCTAGCGCTAACCGCACGTTTCGCAGCATAACCCTCTTTTCCTCTACGGATCAACAATTGCTTATGTGGTGATAAATACAGTAAAACCTAGAATTCAGATGTGTTCGTTCAAAACTTAGCTGTTACACTGACAGGGGGTATAACGTTGTTTACCCAGGACAACTCAGCAACATATTCCTCATACCCGTGGGCTGTCATACAAAAAAGGAAAAGAACCACGCTGTCTCACATGGCTGACTCAATCCTACCTCGCAGCTATTGCTATGCGTTTAGCTATGCTCTATTTTTGTCCGTTATGGCTTGTGAAAGGGATGACTTCATTAAGCTTTTAATTTCTTTAAGTGGCATGTTCATTCAGGACAAGAGCCTTTGCTCTTTGCTTTGTAAGCTGATGGTCCTTCGGCTCGAGCACGCTGTGAGGGTTCAGGGTTTGAAACCTGAGAAGTCTGAACATTAAAAGAAATGCCGTAACAACGCTATACACAAATAGCTTGTTCCTTCTGTGACAAGTAGTTTATAGAGGAAAATAAATGAGTAAGCGTAGTAGGCATAAAATCAAGCACTCAATGCAAGCTGGTGCTGAATGATGAAGATTAAAACAACATCACAGTTTTCATTCACAGACCTCATCTGTGCTCAATCAAGGCAGAGTCCTGTAGGGATCCTTGTATAATATGATTGCAATAGTATGTTTTCAAAATGGACAGAACTGAAGTCTTCCGGGCAGCCTCAGCTCCGTGTCTTGTGTTTCAAGTGCTTGACCAGAAATTTAAAAATACAGCTTTTAAAGATGTATTTTCTCCCTTTGGTTTATTACAAGATGCTCATTCTGGGTTAAGTCACTCAGAGAAGAATTAAAGGCTTCCCCCAACTGCCTAGGAAGGTGTTAAAAACCATCTGCCTGGCCAAAGAGTGCATAAACTTCGATTAAATCAGTAACCTTATTATTATGAAGAATTATCACTGCTGCAGGACCTGCACTGGTCACCTGTTATCAGTAAGGCTCTGCTTTTAGCCAGAGACAATAATTTTGATTCATTTTTATAAACAAAATTTGAAAAAGTTTAGCAAAACTGAATAACAATATTTGAATTCCATCTTGGCTTGCATTTGATGAATCACCACTGTTCCAACTAGTGTAACTGTTATCAAAACCAAATAAAAATAGGTAAATAGTAACATGGGAATGAATGGCAAATGCTACCAAGGCCTTTTACTCTCAATTTGATTGAACTCTGGAAGATGATTCCCAGCTTTGTTTGGGAAATTTCAGTTCTAGTAACCACCACAGGAATGCTCCTTAACCAGTTTTTAAAACCTTCTTTAACATAGGAAAAGATTTAAATCTGCAGGATAGATTTAATAGCATCTTCATTTAAAAACAAATTATGGTTGCGTTTGGCTCACAAGGAAGCTTAAACTAGATTTATGTAAGAAAAAAATGCAGGCAAACTCTTTCATACCATTAATGAAAACCTCCAAGAGTGTAGGAAAGTAATGCAAATTACCAATCTGTGTTCCTCAGCCAAAGACTAATCACACACACATGCAGATCAACACTAATACTTGCAAGCACTCCAATTTCCACTGTGTGCTATGAATCTTAACAGAAATGCCATGCTTTTACTCCAGATGAAACATTTTCTGGCAAATGAACTGTGGCAGTTTTGCTGTTCTGCTCTTTTATCGGTGTTATTATGAATGGGTTCAAGACTGGTTTAAAGTAACTTGTGGCTACCAAGTCAGCATGCAGTAATCACTGATTAGGAAAAGCTTATTCACTTTCACTGAACTGAAAAAATATGAAAGCAGCACCTATAGCTAGGAATCCTGGTCCTTTAGAAAGGGTTAAAACAAACAAACATTGAAACAAGAGGTGGGCAGCGGACCAACAATGACTAAAAAAGAAAATAGAGCACAGGTGGCTACTGCCAGGCAAGAAGAAAAACTTCTCTGTTTTACCAGGGGTTGCAAAACACGCAAGGGAAAGGACACATGATACAGCTAGGAGAAAAAGTAGTATGTGACTACAAAGGTCTGATGCTCTTTCAGTAGCTAGATGTCATGGTCAACGATTTTTTAATGACAATTTTTTTGCAAAGGTGCAAAAAAAAAAACTTCTAAAACTTTGAGCATCTCAAAAATCCCCTCCACGCAGCATGACTGGTAAGGAACCGACAACGGGGTGCCCTGAAGCCTCGACTGAGAGCCTGGAAGCCCGAGCCCTCTCCCACACTGCTGTCACAGCCTCCCGTTAACCTCAGCAAGTTCCTTCACTGCTTTCTGTTGTCGCAGGAGACAGACAGACTGGGGTAACAACCACGGCAGCAACAACCTCACAGAGCTGTTTACAAAGTGATCACGTCCTTAAGACTTTACAAATGCTGACTTAGCTAGACCCTTGCAAACTAACCCCAAATCTAACCTATGCTGATTCCTGCAAACTCCCCGGTGCAAGTGTGCAGAGGGGCCCGCCTGCCTCACACCACTCGCAGCACACGCTCTTCTCGTCCTCCAACAGACCCCACAGACGCGGCGGACTTGGATGCAGTGGTAAGCGGTCTGGGATCTACAAATCTCAGAAGTTAACAACAGATTTCTGTTGTCAGCAGATGATACAGTACAGGACCTTTTTTTTTTTTAAGGTTTATTTGCTTTTAAGTAGGTAAATATAGTTGATATTCCACTAAGTATTTACAACACCTGGCTTCAGTAGGTAAACTAGTAATACGAGATGCATAACATAAGCATTGTTTAGAAGCCCAATATATTAGCACTAGTGACACTCTATGTATTCATTTCTATTGACTTTAAAACCCATGCTAATTTAGAAGATCAAGGTAGAAGATTAAACATACAGCAACATGCCACCCTGCAAACATGGCTTGACCTGTTCTGAACACATTAAACAAGATTCAACCAAGTAAGAAAAAAATGTGTTGCACCAGGCACCCAAAATGTCACCACAGAAGACTGAAGTCAAAAGAAAGATCATTTGCAGCAGCCAGCATGACAAATAAATACCCTAAAAGGAAATTAATCTAATGAAACACCAGTGGTTTTCTCAGTAAGTTTAAGCATTAAGACTCAAATCCACATATAAATACAAATATGCGATCAGATATTTAAACTCAGAAATCAGACACTGAACTGTTAGGGTAAAAGGAAAAAATACATTGTTGAAACTAACTTGGAAACTTCAAATTTGGGTTACTCTGATTTATTAAAGATACACGGACAAAAGGGTGCAATTAAATAAGAACATAATTTTTTTCTGCAACTAGCAATTCCCCATCTCTTTATTAACATCCCTAAATATGCATTCCTAAATCTAAAAACAGGCAGGCAGTTTAGAAGTGCTGCCTTTAGTGAAGGAAGCCAAACCAAACCACTGAGAACTCAGTTGTATAAAAAAAAGATTTAATTAAATTAAAAAAAAAAAAAAAGGCTCATTCCACCCTCTTCTCTCAAAGAACCTTCATCAACTGTCCCGAATTTCCCCTTCTTCCATAGATGAAAGGGATGAACCGTCACTGTCCGAGTTCTCTGCAGGTTCACTGGCATCTGAGGATGTAGGACACAAACAAAAAACAAACAAGCAATTAGTTTCAGCAGTGTTGTTTGCTCATCACACAGAAGCAGTTTCATATCTTCTTTTCCTTTTAATCACACTTTCCTTGAGGACAGCTATTTTGTAAGACATAACCAGTCTCATAACATGGGATAAAGCCCTGGAGAGGGAGAAAGCAAGACAGTGTTGAGAATTTCTTCTCGTTTTTAAATCTTGGTCTTTCAGTCAAGTAGGTAAGCAGAGTATGTATCCCACACAAAACTCTTCCTCTTCATCCACTGAGAATTTCAAATTTTTCTCTTGGCTTCTTTGTTGTAAATGTTGTTTTCTGGGTTGCTGCATATATATGGCAACTGTAATGAATTATAAATCATTTACACTTTTATTAGCATTTCAGTTAAGATGGGGAACTACTGAGAAATTCTAAACGGAGACGGAGAATTAAGACGGTGCACCTATGTACTCTTTCCACGTGTTCCAGCATCCCTAAGATGGTGTTAAGCTGTGCGAATCCATGAGCTAAAGCTGATGAGGTTAAAGCTGCACAGTAACTTGTGCTTTAGGACACAGCTGTTGTGGTCTGCTGAGATCATATCGTGAAGCACTCACTTCCCAAACTGGTCTTCAGCCTCACACCCTGAGACTCCTTCTTCAACAAGCGCTGACCCCGGTCACCTTCTGGTGAGGTCACCAAATGCCACTGGTCGGTGGCACTCAAGCAGCACAAAAATAAACCACAGCAAAGTAGGCCCATGATTCACGCTCTGCTCTCATTGTTATTTTCAGTATTTGATCCAACTGTGAATTTAAAGGTGTTTTTGAGCATTTACAGTCAGATGCTTCATTACAGAAACGTTACCCAAAGGGAGCTGATGCAGTATAGTTACTGTCTTGTCAAGATAAGCTCTACAGCTGGCAGACACAGATAATACACAGGACACAGTGTGCACCTGTACAGTTTCAGTGGAATTTGTTCAAGAAAATAGAAGCATTTCACCCAGAAACATCAGAGGTCACACTTTGTCTACATTAAATCTAGTGTATAATCAATTAACATTTATATGCCAGATATGTACTGAGTAATGCACAAAGTAAGGATTGGTTTTGCCCCTAAGTCCTGTGAAAGCTTCTATAATCCCCTACTATCTTCAGCCATGACTGACCTTGTATGCTGAAATCAGAGCACCTGTAGTTTTTGCTATAAGCAAGTCAAGCATCAAAACATCACATAACAGAATGTGGCAATCTTCTGACTCACAGTGAAGCTCAACAGACAAATTTTAGCTTTACTTTAGTCTGTTACAGTAAGTTTTATTTAACAGGAATTATAGATTGTCTTCACTCAAAAAGAACATTTTTATGGTGTTGATACCATTGCCTATGCATTAAGATTGCTCAGTCCTTCCCACCATAAAACTGCAGTTTACTTATAATGTAAAAATCTAAACTCTGGGTTTAAATTTTTCAGTGCCAGTTTCCTTCCTCAGTCCTTATTTTCATGATTGTTTTTTTAAAGTTTCAGCCAAAATACTTCAGCCATTTCTGAGAACAAGGATAGGAGAAATAGGCTTTGTCTTTATTAAAATTCTAGCAGTCTCTCTTTGAAGGTGTTTAGCTCTAGCTCTCCCCCAGTCTTTGGGGGTAGTAACTTGAATTGCAGGGGGGAATGGTGATCGTTCCCCAGCACGCGCCTATTGCTGTGGCTATGAAAACTTGCCTCTCTTCTTCCTGGGGAAGGGGTTAGAGCTGAGATTGCTCAGTAAAGAAGCATCATTTTAGAAGTCACATTTCGACAAGACTGTTTCTTGTTCTAGCCTGGGTCCTTAGAAAACAGACCCTGGAGGGCTATGGTAGTCGAAGCCGCTGCACTCCGGCGGACGCCCTGCCAGACGTCCCCTCATCGACGCGGCAGCTGTTTGGGAGGTCAGCCGGAGAGGCGCTCCGAGACAGGTGTCCCTCTGGGTGCACAGGGAGAAGGAAGGCAGAAAGGAAAGTCACTACTGGCGGAGACAGGAGAAGCAAGAGCAGGATGGATGGCTTAGGAGGAGTGTGCAACTGATACAAAAAGCCATCCATGTCGAAGAAACTGGACTGCAAGTAACACACAAGATGCTGCAGCAGAAAGGTCACTTCTTGGGAGATGGGAGTGGGCTAAAGCACCTCTCCGATTACACCAGACCTGGATTACAATTACCCTGGAGAGTCTGGAGGCGAACCCAAGATTTCCTCTCTTAATGATTATATGTGAATGCAACTGGTAAGCAAACTAAATACTGTTTTTTCTCCTTTATTCTGTAAAGATGACACACAACAGAAGAGTACAATGATTGTGCCACACTTCAACAAAAGTGATATTTTGTTTTCAAGTGGAGTAACAGCAACAAAAAGCTCTCCTATTTTTATATTCATGTTCGGAACATGCTTTTCCTGAAAGAATCTGGAGTTACTGTGACAGGCTTCCACTCTTCACAGAAAAAGCTCCAAGAACACAGGGTCCACACCAAACTCAAGGCTGAAGTTAAGTGTTAATAGGTTAACTAAGAAGATGTACAAAAATAAATTATGATAAAAGTTGTGAAAAGCATGTTATTTTTGCCATTAGCTATAATCTTTTGCTATGTTATACCCAAGACACCTCCACAGGGAGCTATGCACTTGATTTTTATGGAATCTATAGAAACAGTTAAAAAAAAAATTAAGAAAATTAATGGTTCCCAAAACACGAAAGAGCTGCCAGCGTTCCTTGAACACCAACCTCAGGGATGACTGCTAACTGAATGATCCCCACAGCAGAGGAAGGTTACCGTCTTGAAGACGCACACTTGCACTGCCCTGGAACAGAGCTATCGGCACTCCCCCAGCTATTGCTGGCTATCTCTTCCCTTTGCCCTTCTACTCTGCCTTTTACAGAACCAGCTAGTTGCTGCCGCAGCTCAACCTCAAAATATAGTTGTTCAATCAACACTTATTTGAATCTATACCCTTAAAAGGACAGCCTCCCTACTAGCTCAGAAGACAATGACAACCACCCTATTCAGATTAAGTCTATGAGTCCATCAATTGTAATTCCCTCCTGACATCTAAATCCTAGGGGTAGGGCTGACTACTGAAAAGCAAGGGACCTAGATCAAGAAATAATGGATAAACTGAAAGTACCTAGTTTCCTTGTACTCCAGTATACGTATGTGCACTCCTCAGGTGAATATCAGTGGACCGAGTTGCTCAGACAAGACTCCTACCTCATCCCCTGGCGTGGTGTCTCGCTCTCAGAAGCTCTTGCGGTACATAGCGCAAGAAATGTTTGCATACCGTTTCTTTGAGAGCAGATTGCTCCAATGGATCACTTAGCGTCATCTAGCCAGAACAGCCAAGATGCATGGAAGTTTGATATCACTGGTACAATATTCTCAGTCTCATATTTATTCAGTTAACACATACAGCCATGATTGAGTTGCCGCAGGGAAACAGCCATTGCAAACATATTTCAATGCTTTTCCTCAGAAACGTGTAAAAATTACAGACTGGCTTATCACTGGAAAGTATGGAATTTGATAACTAAGGTGACTAGCTGGGGGACTAAGAGACAAGGGAACTGATTCCTTACATCAGCAGCTGCAGAAAGCGAAGCTGGGACATGAAGCCTTTATACTGGGGAGAAAGATGGAAATTAACTTCAAAATTAAAATATAAATTCCTGCTAGACCAGGACTCTCAGTTAACTCCAAGATGAAAGTCTTCCCTCAAGTAAATACTTTTCGAAGATAACATTGTGCTTTTAACCCACACGGAAAGCTACTTTGCCATTACAATTTCTAATATGTATCCTGTAATTCAGAATTATTTGTCCAATGTTAGGAGTTATGCTAGGAAATAATGGAGAATGATTCCTTTGTATGATTAGCAGGCTTACTGAAAACTCATCTTCCTCAGACAGCTTGACTTTTTAGAAATAGCCAACTCTGTTAAACTTTGCTACATGAAAAATTTAGCACAAGTCTCAAGAGTTGTTTTACCTTAATGGCTAAAAAAATACAAAAAAAGAATCAAGCAGCAGTAAACAAAGTTAGGAAAAACACATACAATACAGCTTATGGATGTAAGCCATCGGCCAGCAGTTTGAAGACAGAGCATTCATAACAGCTTTTTTGTAACGATCTTTTAGATTCAGAGGGAAATACAACCCATACTGCACATTCCTGGCATTATTAATAGGTGTATCCTTAATTATTGCTTTATTTTACTAAAATATCTAAGTCTAGCATAACAGGAAATAAATATATGCTTACCTTGGCCAAGAATCACCATGTCATTCTTCAATGTTTTCAAGACCACAAAAAACGTTGGATACTCAATTATTATTTTGCCTTTCAAATTGTCTAGGAGGCTTCTACTGGCATCCAGTTCATTGTACCTTAAAAATAACAGGGAAGTTTATTTTGGATTTTAATACTACCAAGGACATAATGTATGCTTTCTGAAGGAAGAAGGAAAAAAAAAAAAAAAAAGAGAAACTTTTCTGGCAATTTACAGGATTTTCAGATGATATCATGTTCAGAAGAACTATCTTATGATTCAAATTAGATATCCAGTCTTATTATCCAACGACATAATTTTTTTAAACCCTCCTAATATCTAAGCATAAGAACATGAGGAGAATCAAAGTAAAATTTCTCTAAGGGCTGAAATGTTTTATGAGTTCTTATATCTTTACCAAAATCAGATATAGACATAAGGTTATCAAAATGTATGTATTTACCAAGATCAGATTCTAAATCAAAAGTAACACTTAATGTTCTACTTATGGCTTAATTTACATGGTTTAATTTACATGGTTAGTAGTGTACCTTATTTATCACGTTTGGTTATGAATTATAAGTGAAGCACCAGGAAGATGAAATAAAAAGCATATCTGAACAACTACTCAAGCAAAGGTATATTGGAAGCACTTAGAGCTCTGTTTTTGTAGAAGTAAGGGCTCTGATACCCAGGGCACTGGGGCAGTAAATTCTAAAAGATGGTACAATATCCCTGTTTAGCCTAAGCAAATCTCTGCTTACAGCAGCATCCTCAAGAAACTCCTTGTAGAAATCCCCACATGCGTGTGTGCTACAAGAGGCGCATGACCAGGATGCGCAGTCCTTTCCCAGAAATGGGCTCCTCTTCACCCTGGAGGGTGAAGCCAGGTGCGTAACAAATGATGCCACAGTAATAAAAAGTAAACTGAGCATCTTCTCCACAATTATTTCCTAGAACGGTAATATTCTCTCCCAGCTCTCTAACTGGAAACCTGGACGTGGGATTTTGGGGAAAGGAAGGGATATTTCAAAGCCCTTTGTAAGAGAAACACTGTTGCTTTCACTTGCTATAACTGCAGCATCCAACAGATGCTCTGATATTATTACACTGCAATCTGAGTTATGCAATTCTTTCTGTAACCAGTATTATTAAATTACTACTAAGCTATTGTATCAGTTAAAGGCAAATGAAGTTCAAAACCAAAATACACTGTGGGCAATGAGTGGAGTATTTCCCATAGCTGCTCTGCTTTCTCTGATCATTAATGTATTAGGCAGTTGGCTTTTCTTTTGCCAAACCCAACACTGGATGGGTGAAGGAAATTATATCCTTTATGATTTACAGTAATGTGTGATTAAGGACAGTACATCAGAGGAGTCAGCACACAAGAATACGGAAGGTAAAACAGGATTTGAGTTCTTGGGATTTAAGGGAAACTTAGTTTGAGCAAAAACTATTTCTCTCTCATATTCAACTTCAATCATCATGAAAATATTTGGTTTCATGTTTCTCTCAACCCAAAGTAATTATGACCTCTTCTTACTGAAACCCTTTTAAAAGGGATAACAGTATATTACATTTCTTATTGAATGAATGCATTCATAACTTGTGGATTAACACACATGAACAGAAACATATTTACTGCTTTATTTACAGTACTCTAAATGCAAAGTATGGCAATACCTTTCCTTTGGCAAGGACCTCAACACATTCTTTTCTGGTTAAGCAAACATTTACCACCAAGAGGCTAAAGTAATTCACATGCCACAATACACTTTCCATTATCTCATGTTTTAGACAAAACATCTTTAGCGTCCAGCTTGGCATAAGATAAAACATTTGTACTTAAAACTATTTTATGATAGTAAATTACTGAAGCGTTAGATCACCAAGTCAGAGCTTTATCGTTTTTGGTTTTGAAGTAAATTTTATTGGTTGACAGTGACAGAGAAAACATCTAAATTTTTAGTGCATAATGTGGGCTGTAAACTTCAGGGAGAATATAACAAAGGAGCTTAATGCTTCTCTTTTTTAAACTTTGCTGTTGTTGTCTATGCTATCCAAAAGACCTCAGTCTACCACATTCCCTACTTTATACACAAGTACAAGTTGAGGTTTTCTGTTAATCCACCTGCCAACCTCTTCCTTGACTGTGCATGCTTAAAACATCTCAAAAGAAAACTAATACTTGTCACTCAATTCCTGAGTCTAATACAGGATGCCTCCTGAGCAAGACTGATTTTTCAAGTTCTCGCTGAAAGACTTTGTCATGATAAAAACCTGCCCAGTTTTATCCCAGAACTAGAAGAAAGTCATACATCAGAGGGTGAACAACACAGATCTACGGGCAAAAGAAGACTGCCCTGCAAGGCTTTTCCACAAGCCTATATACACACACAATTTCAATTTTTACTTAGGAGAAGGCTAGACCTGTCCAAAGAAAAATAAAATGAAATGGCATTTTGACAAGTCTTGTAACTTTCTGTACTGATTATTCACCAGGATGAGCTGAGCATGTAGGGTAACACTGAGATGCAGGGCCTCCCATGTATTTGCAGGGAAGTGGTCTCACCACAGGTAGGAGATGGAGCAGGGAGAACCTGGTAATCAAATATTACCAGATATTCTTTTATCACCGTTTTTACCTACTTGTCTTGTATCACTGGGACTGCGTAGCCTGCTCAGTAAGAACCCATAACAAGCTGCAACCTTCTTCAGGCCCTTCCTTCACTGTGCATTTCAAGTGACAACCCAATAAAATGAATGACAACCAGTGTAAGTCTGTCCTTTCACTCGGACTCCTCCATGCTCCAGGGACAGTTGCAGGAACCAACTTAACTGAGGCTGTCATCCTGCACAAGCTCCTTCAGCCCTTCATGACAGTACGGATCTGAAGATAAGCCTGGCTCCAAACGAACTGACCACCCTGTCAGAACCACTGCCTTAACACCCCATCTTCACATCTTTCTTTTAAACCCTCCTCCTGCTTTCTCTTTTCTCCCACTGCCCCATTCATACAATTTGTCTGCGCTGCAGCTTCCCGATCCCTGTATTCAGTGGGACTTCTCTTTGCACCCTTCTCTCTCAATCTTCTTTCCTCCCTGGTATTTACTTCCCACGTATTTTCTCTCTGCCTTCCACACATTCCCTCAGCCTCCAACACCCACCATCTAATAATACGCTTTCCTGATTATTTTCTTGCCCCAGGCAAGGCTTTATGCCCATGTCACGAAGCAAGAAATAGGCCTGGACTTCTTCTTAATAAGACTACTCCATTTATAAGGACCACAAAGAGACAATCTTGGCAGACAACAGCTTTTGATTTTGGCTGGAATGAAATAACAATAACTGCTTTTTAAAGGACAAAAATTAAATAAAATTTGCCTGCCAGCAGGCAGTTTAAAAGCCTACAAAAATTGTGACGACTGAGAAAATTTAACAAATTTAAAAAATTTACCTTTCATGAAATGCTGAAATTAATGCGGCTCTGCACTTCTGATAGCATCTACGAGTTTCTGTGAAGGATAGTTTCACTATCTATAGTTATTCCACCACCTTCCAGGAATTCAACAATTCAGTCTCCTAATCTGTCTCCCACAGGCA